TTTTTCAGAACCAGGGATTGAACTCAGGTCCTTGCACTTGCCAGGGAAGCGCTTATTCTACTGAGCCATCTCCCTGGCCCTATGGCCAAGATTTTGTATTTTGGAAAATATTCTGTGTAGATTTTCGTGGTTGCCATCTTAGGGGAGGAAACTGAGGCTCAGAGGGGTCAAGAGATTATTCAGAGTCACATAACTGTCAGTGCCCAGCCTGGCACAGAGCTCAGTCAGGGCAGAGCCAGCCCATTACTCTTTGCCTACACAGACCTTGGGTGGGGCACAACACACCACTGCAGAGCAGGGACGCCCAGGAAAGCTGACTTAGAGCACACAGTTGGAGGACTAAGTATTAGCTTCTGTATGAGGGTGGGGAAGAGGGTTGGGAAGCCTCGTCAGGATTCTAGACACAGCACATTAAAAGCATTTCTCTGGGAAAACATTTAAATTGAGCATGTGGGGCCGGGAGATGGCTCAGTGGAATAAGCGCTTTCCTGGCAAGCTCAAGGGCCTGAGTTCAATCCCTAACTCAGCAAAAAAAAAAAAAAAAAAAAAAAATAGCCAAACAAAATTTAAAAAAAGTATAAAGCAGTAAATTGAGCATGTGAGTTTTGTAGCCAGAAATATCAGGTTCAGATCCAGTGTTTCCCTTAACTGGCTGTGTGATCTTGATTAAGTCAATTACCCTCAGCAAAGCCTCTTTTGCCAATAAAATGAGAGTAATAGCATTTTACAGGCTTCGAGGATCAAATCAGAAAGTGTATACAAGGTGATCAATGCACATGACCCTCGATACATATCTATTATTTGTATTCAGGGGACTGAAATGCAGGGAATCTACGCAAGGATAAGTCCATGTAGGACACATGCCTGCAATCCCAGCACTAGGTGGCTAAGGCAGCTGGACTACACGCTCAAACCTAGTTTAGGCAATTAAGTAACGGAGATAAGCTCTATCTTGAAAATAAAATTATGAACAAAGAACCGAGTATGTGGGTCCTGCAAGGGTGTGGAGAGGGGTGAGTCTAGTGGGTGGGGAGAGGGAAGGTGGAGTGGGACCATCGATCCAGAATCGCCCAGGCCCCTGGACCTCAGCCCAGGGCAGACGCCTTCTAATCCCACCAAGACTGGCTTGGACTGAGTTGGGGGGGGGGTGCGGGCCCAGAGTTCCTGGCTGTTCTGAAGCCATCCAGGTTTCCAAAAAGATCTTGGAGACTAGGCAAAGAGTTCTGGCAAGGGGACTGGTAGCCAGTGGGCGGTCCACCACTGAGACCCCAACTCACACTGCAAGAATAGAAGCGACGCTGGCGCTCACCGTCACAGCACACCACCTCTGCATCTTCGAGCAGGGGTGAAGAGCGGGTTGCTCCCAAGAGCACCCCATCTCAGCTGGGGGACCCGTGCCCTCGAGGTGGAGCCCCAAGAGGAAGATCTGGGGCCGAGCAGCCTACCTTGCGCAAGCCGCTGAAGGGCACGTCCACGGGGAGTGAGAAGAGGTTCTCGACTAGTTGCTCGAACGTCTGGGCCAGTTCGGCGCACCGGGCCTCATCCAGCCGTAGACCCAGTAGGATGCGCGCGGCCATGCGGAAGGTGAGCGCCTTAGCAGCCTCATAGACAGCAACTGGTCCTCTGGCCGCACACCAGGAGCGCACCTCGCGCCGCAGCGCCCCCTGCAGGCGCGGTACGTAGCGCTCCAGCGCTGCGCGGTTGAACATGCGCCCGAGGACCTGTGGGGAGCTGTCGCCGTCAGCCGGGTGGCAGGCGGGCCTTCCCTGCTTGCGATTCTAGATCTGGTCCCTTCCTCTTCTAAGCGACCCGACTCTATGTTTGTTGGCTTTCGCTTTCCTTCTTTCTAGTTCTGCGGAGGTGTGCTCAGTCCCTCCTTACTACCCAGGCTACCTCCCCCACGAAGCCTTCTTTGACACGTCTAGATCTCAGAGAAGATCAGAAATAAAAGGAATTTATAGGCCAGCCTTGGCTTTGAAATTCAAACCCAGAGAATGTAAGGGACTGGCACAAAGCCACCTGCTTTTAACCAAAGGGAACTCAGTTCGGGTTTTCAATATACCTCCACACCTGGCTCCGCCCTGGCACCCAGCAAGTGGCCGGGGTCCTCAAGTCCGACGTTCTCCGGGCGCGCTCACCTTGCGCCGCAGCCGATGCGGCTCACCAGCCGCGCTCAGGAGGGTGTTGGAGCCTAGCAGGATGTGCGCGCTCTGCGGCCACTGACTGCGCACCAAGCGGTGTTCCCCGAGCAGGATGGTGCGCACGTTTTCGGCACCGCTCACTCGGATCACTGGCCTGCCCAGCAGGTGCGTCTTGAACACTGTGCCGTAGCGCTCCCGGCGGGAACTGTGGAAGCGCGAGCCCTGGGGGCAAGGCGGAGCTTGAAGAGCTGCAGTCTTACCCCCAAGAGGGTCCGACCCATGTTTCCTAATTGCCACAGGATAACAATTCGCTTTGTCAGTCCTGCGCATTTTTATAAAACAGGGTGCGAAATGGACCTTGCAAGGAGCCTACAGGAATGTAGATGCTCTCCTCCCTCCCGCCCCCGGAAACTGAGGTTTACAATGGGGGCGGCAAGGACTCGCTGCCAATTCCAGGTTTCTAAAACACACTCCTGAAACTCCTTCCAGAGCTCAACTCAGTATACCCTAAGGTCGAATTGCTCTAGGGAGAACTGCAGTGACGTGAGGTCTTTTTGAAGCATCAGAGTAGATACGCAAAGGCAAGGGTTGTGTGTGTGTTCCCCATAGCCGTGGGCCACTGGAAAGGGAGTGGTTCCAATCCCGGGGGCATTTTGAACAAGGATCCAGGAACCTTGAAAGAAGGGGCCGTGTCATTCTGCAGAAGATGATGAACTGCTCACCTGAATCAACCAGTGCAGCGTTTCACCGAAGAAGGGCCAGCCCATGGAGCCCTTGGGCAGGGGCAGGGCAGAGGTTGGATCCCGGCTCAGCGTCCAGCGGAGGGTCCAGAGGTGCTGAGCCAGGCCAAGCAGCAGGCCGGCGCACAGGAGAGCTGTGCATGCAGCCCCCAGCAGTGACAGGCAGCTCAGCCCCCAGGCAAACATGATGAGCCTGCGGGGGAGGGGGTGGCTAAGCTGCCCGAGCACAGAGGTGAAAAAACTGGGACGAGCAACGCACACACCTCACCTCTCCCGTTCTGTCTGAAGGGTCCCGGGCCTTGGGGCTCAAGCCTGGGATTAACAGGTTTACGAAAAACTCTATTCTAAAAGACTGGCAATGGAAGGCTGCCGTCACAGTACGCCCTTGGAAACATGTCTTCTACAAGGCTGGCGCACTCTGCACATTTTCCTGGTTCCAGCCCCTCTCACATCTAGACATCTAGCACCCTCAAGTTACTCCCACTCCTCCCCATCAGCAGCGATCCAGGGCTAGAAGCCTGGAGCAAAGGCAAAACCTGGAGCAACTCACCCACGTTGCAGACTAGGGCTGAGATCACAGGGCAGCAGACCCCGGCCCCACCTTTCTTTCCTCCACTCTCAACCGCATTCTCAGCCTATCCTGGACACATTTACATAGGTATTGGCCCCCTTCTTAAGCACTGATCCTGGTTCACACATCGTGACGTGAGGTGCATACGCATATTTAAAGCACTCCATTCTCGGTAATGATTGGAGGCAGTGGGTAGTGTCGCAGTCTCGCCCTGCCAAGGGGATGTGAGTAGGGAGTGGTCCCTGGGCAGAGGGGCAGAGCCATGTACCCTCGGGCGGGGCCTAAGTTTTCCAGCCAGAACTTTGTGAGCGTACACTCCAGGAGTGGGCAAAGTCACAGTGTAAGCCCCAGCTGCACCCCGCAGCAGCGCTCCAGACCCATCCTTACCACTGGCTGTTCTGGGATCTCCACCCTCTGGCTTCTAGGTGCCCTCCCCCTCAGCATCTCAAGGCTGGAGACATTCCATTGGCTCAGTCTCCTTTGGAGAAATGGCATCATCCACTCTGTTGGGGCGTCCAAAGTGCATGAGGATAGCAGGGGCCCTAGTTCTCTGATCTGACACTTTGGGAATCCTTTAAGATGGTAGTTTCATTCCTGCCATAGCTTGAGAGAGAAGCCCAAAGCCTCTGTGCAGCACATATCCCCAGGAGCCTTTTAGGTTGCAAGGGTTGAATTCTCTCCTTTTCCAAACTTCCTCTCCAGAATCCACCCCACAATACTTCGAGTCTCCAAGATTGGTTTTGTGTTCCACCTTGGAGCTCAAAAATGCCTCAGGTCTCTTGTTCCCTTGTCACTACAGTGTAACCTGGGGTGGGGTGGGGAGGCAAGAGCAAGGCTGGGGTGCTTAGATTATTGGCAAAAGTAAAGAAGAGTGAGGTCTGGGTGGTGTGAAGACTGCACCTCTCAAGTACCCCAGAGGGCTGGGTAAGGAAGCAAGGGACAACCTGCTTCCAAGTCTTCAAAGAGAGTTAGAGCATTGTTTGTCTCCCAAAGTCCAGATTTTATTGTGTTTGAAGAATTACCCTGTTTTTGTTTTTGTTTTTGTTTTTGTTTTTTTTTTTTGTGTGTGTGTGTGTAATGTTTTTAAAATGTGAAATACCTTAGGATAAGAAAATGCTTCTTGTTGTTTTGGCACCACTCTCATTTCAATAATTAGAGAACAATACACCTTTTCTGAAGGGAACAGTTTTAAATCAGGAAGCTCTGAACAGACAAAATAGCAATGCATTTTCAACAACTTTCTCAATCTTTAATATTTCATCACAAAATCAAGAGATGTAAACAATAGTTCTTGACACTTGCTTTACAAAGCCAGGTATAGTTTTTCAACAGGTATAAATCCTGATAATGCAAAAGGGTTATTCAGCATAAATACAGCATGAGAAAATAAAGATCAGATTTAAAGATTTACATTGCTGTTTTGGTCATCTTGACTTACACTAAGAAAAATGTTTTATATTTGTTTTCTATTTTCCAGACTTCAGTTGATTTGGTCTGTTTCCACAGCGAGGACAGGGCAGTGAGATCTGCTGTTTGAAGACAATAACCCAAGACCTGTGGCAACTGCTGTGTGTAAGAAAAACACGTACACTCCAACACCAGCTGCACTTGAAGCGTTTAGCCATCGTTAACTTTCCTTTGCTAACCTGAACGAAACTAAACCAAGCAAATCTAGATTGGGGCTAGCTACGATCAATATAGATAGACACACCAACTTGGAAGAGCACAAATCAACATTGCACTCTTAGAAAATCCAAAACATTTCCTTCATATTCAGCATGTTTAAATTAAACCAACAAGTAGAACAAATAATTTACATTCTTACTGAGTTAGGTTTGATTTCAAGAAGTCTTAAAGATTCGTATATTTCCCTCTCAGAATGAGCAGAATTAAAAATTTTATTCTACCTAAATCACACTGAGGTGAAAATAAAAATTTTCTAAATCAGAAAATGGCAGTAAAATACTCCTGTATTAGACATGACTGAAGGCTATACTTTCAGGGATCATTTCTATAGTATGTATTAGACATGACTGCATTCTAAAACCATATATTTTTTAAAACATCACTCAAGTTTAAACAGAAAAAAATACTTATAAAGCAAAGGCTTGTTTTTCTGATGTATTTGCAATCAGTTTCATATACAATTTTTTACTTGATATTATAGTTTTGCCTTTTCCCCCTACAATTGAAAAAAGTAACATTTTCCATATATAAAATATTCAATTATTTAAAAATTCATACAAATGATACTTATGATTTCTTGTTTAAGCCATCATCATTGTCTTTTCAGTGCTGCACTTTTAAATTCTGTAAACCAATTACTGTATCTTGACCCTTGCTTGTTAGAAATCAACACTCAGTCCTGGGGCTCTGACGTTACTCAGTGCAAACGACATGAGGTCTACGCATGCTGGGACATACCATTCACCAAGCTTCTCAGCTGCTTTACCACTGTCTCTATCAACTTCTGCTTGTCTCGATCATTCTTCCTGAACTGAGCAAATATATTGTTCTTTTTACTAGTATCCTTCATCCTAGAAACGTGAATGAAGAAGCTTAGTAGAAGGAAAAAAAACCCTATGCTGTCACAAGTAAAATATCTTGGCATGTTCTGAATTATCTCACACTAATCCCACACTTGAAAAAATATACTTTAAAGAAAATAGGTACTAATGAACTCAGATACAGAAAACATACAGAAATTAGCAACTTAATTTGCATTTTATACAAAGTGGTGGTTTTGCATTAGTATATGAATCTAAAATATACTAGCTTTTCACATATTATACTATTTTCTAATATATTCCATAAAGTATGTTAAAATGCCACTTATAGACTTTGTAAATCACATTCATAGCAAGATAAAGTAAAAGAAAAAATATTAGAAATTTAAAACAGCAATGTTCTTGCCTCAGTAGTGTTATGTAATATCATAAAATAAAATTTATGTTTTTTAAACAGCTCCTTACGTTCTTTCAAATCAAATATACCACAGGTATTTTAAAATGTATAAAATATATTTTAATTTACAAATTACAAATTTTGGGCTGGGGAGATGTCTCAGTGGAATATGTAGCTCTCCTGGAGGAGAGGACTCCTGAGGACAGCCTCTAGTAGCACAAAAAAAATTCAAAAAAAAAAAAAAAAAAAAACACAGATTTTAACAATGATGATATTTTAAATATGATTGAATGAAGAGAAAATCTCAATCTGTGTTTAGCTGGGTAAAAATGCACCAGTAAATCCTATCACCTCAGTTTTCAAAATATTGTATTTTTCTTTCTTTTTTTTTTTTTTGGCAGAACCGGGGATTGAACTCACACCCTTGCACTTGCCAGGGAAGCGCTTATTCCACTGAGCCATCTCCCCGGCCGCTAAAATATTGTATTTTTCAAATCACATATTTTTTCTATTTGTCAACAATCTATGATTTAAACAGCATTGGTGGCAAATAACCGCAATTCCTAGCTATATTTTACAAACTATCTTCTTTTCTGTAGTATAGGTGTGTTTTGCTTAAGTAGCTCCAGTTTCTAGTTACTTATATCTCCAGCAAAGGTATTGTCTGTCCCCTATCCCTTGTTCGCCCCTGCCCCCACATGTCAATTAAGTAAGTGCTCTACCACTGAGGAGTTACATCTACTGCACTCCAGTAAAGCTACTTGGTCAGTGAAGCCTGCAATTCAGGATACAATAGGGAAAAAAAGCTTTGTTTGCATCAATGTAAGCAGCAATTGCATATGTAACTATCCCAATTCCAAAGGCTTATTTTTAAGTCATTAAAATGGACTAAGCTTTTAAACTCTATACATTTCAGGGAAATTTCTAGTTTTTCATTTGTCACTGAATCAAAGTCTGATACGTAAAAATGTTTCCAAAATATACTCACTTCTCCAAAAGAGTAAGGGCTGTGCTTGGATTCACTCGAAGGTATTTAGAAGCTGGCTGCCCATAATCAGCTAGATAAGTAGACCAGTCCCAAACCATAAACAGATCAAGGAGCTGAGGAAGATGGAGGAAAATGTTATATCAACTTTTGCCTCTTTACTCACACATAAGTCAAATATACACTCTTCTTGGGCTTTTTTTTTTTTTTTTTCAGGACTGGGGATTGAACTCAGGCCCTTGCACTTGCCAGGCAAGCACTTATCCTATTGAGCCATCTCCCCTGCCCCATTCTTGGCCTATTTTAATATGACGTACTTCTTAACAGAATAAGGAAAATTAAAGAACTCTATTAACTACTTCATAGCTAAAATAGTGTGTACACTATCTTTTTCCTTTAAAATTACTGACAGCATCAGTAGCTGCTTTTCCGTAAAATACTTTTTTGGATTTCAAATAATTACAAATAACAGAAACACTTGTATTATATTAATTATATGACCTTTGCAGATGTTTGAAGATATTTATCTTTTTTTGACATTTATCTTCATAAACTATTCAGCTGGTACTCTAAGAAATGGAGCTATTTAAGAGACCCTTTTAGAGTTATGTTTACCTTTGAAAGACACTGTTTATAATTAGACTTTTCTCAAGTAATTTAAACCAAAAGCTGAGATAATCTCAATTAACTGAATTAAAAAACTTCTGTTGTATTCTTCTGCTGGTGACAGATATTCAGTATTATTATGAAACAAGGGCTTCAGGACTTGGACTATTAACTCTAGGTAATCATTTTGTACAAACAAACAACAACAAAAAAGAAACCCTTATGTTTTCCACAGTGTCTTCAAATGGACTATTTGGTTTATAAACTCCAGTTAGAATCATTGTCAAATATGGAAGTAATCTTTTAAAAGCAACACTGTGCCCAAACCAAAGCAAAAAACTCTTTATCCATCTTTAAAACCCTAATCCCCTTTAAACCATTTAAAACCAACTTCCTATTCCCCTCTGAATTGTTTCAAAAAGCTAAATGCTTTACTTACTACTTCCTTTAGTTTTTATATTATTCTTGTTTTGTTTTAACTTGCTTTATAAGTAAGGGGTCTACTCAGTTGCCTTAAATGAAGGAAGGATTTGTATTTACTTACAGGATGTGTAAACTGATACAGTAACTCTGAGGATAAAACTTTTTAGGTGATTAAAGCCATCTAATGGAGAGCTAGTTTTTCCTTAGGAAGGTGAGGGACTTGTTTGACTCTTTCTTCATCCAATTAACAACTACTGCACTAACAGACTCTTGTAAAAAGTGGAAAACACCATAACAAAAATATTAACTATTAAAAGCCACTCTATTTATATTCAGGTAACATTCTAAGCCATAGAAAAAGTTGAAGCATGGGTACAGAAACCATTCTGAGACAATGTAAAGAATGTCTGAAAAAGAAAAGTTTTTTGGTAATAAGTACATTTTTCACTTCTTTCACAAGGAGGGAAAGTTCTTTCATGTATTCAAATTGTAGAGTGTAGTTGATATAACCTCTGGAATGTGTTTTGGCAACATGTTTAAGAACCTTATAAAAATGACCATTTTCTTTGATTAAGTAATCATACTTCTAGGACTATAACTTCAGGCAACAATAATATAGACAGACAAGAATTTATGTACAAAAATAATAATCCTAAAAATGTTATTTGGTTATCAACAAACTGAAAATAACCTAAACCTCACAGTGAGGTATACCTATACAATGAATATCATGTGGCTATTAAAATTAATGTTTACATAGAATGTTTAATTATCTGAAATATTCATAATATTGCTAATTATAGAAAATCAAAAAATTTTAAAAATTTGAAAAATTTTAAGAATGGTCACTTTTAAGGGGGGGGATTATGAGTAACTGTTATTTTCAGTTTTTTATAAATACTCTACCCCAAGGACATGTATTAATGTAATGGGTAGAAACAACTGTATTTCACTAACAAATACACCCCACACAGTGGTCAGCACAACCTCATTTGGAAGGAATTCTCTTTCAGATGTATGTGTTTGCACAAATATATGTAATCACGCACAGTCAGCAGAAAGTAACCACTTAATACTTGGCTGTAATCTTCCTTTTCAAAAGGCATGACCAATGTGACCTCTGGGATATAGCAGTAAATAAGGTCCTTCTCTCTGAGGCTGATTTACCCCTGATGGGAAAGAAGGAGCCTACTTAATGCATTAAAAGCCTGCACCAACTCCATCTGTGACTGCATAACTTGGTTTTTCTTTAACATAAAACAGACTTTACTAGATAAAGAAACACTATGTTTATAATTTTCATATATGGTCAGATAGCATATGCAAACCTCTCCTATACAGACATTCATATACAAATCACTAGAAATTACAGGTATCACAAAATGTAATCTACCTACCTACTCAAACCTAATTTATATGCTTTCACATTTACACTAAAATTTTATAAAAATACATTTTAAGGGCTGGAGAGATGGCTCAGTGGTCTAAAGCACCTACTTAGAACAAGCTTAGCAAAGCATCAGGGACCACGGTTCAATCCCCCAGCACCACATGCCAG